CACACACAATAAATAAATGTAATAAATAAAAATAAATAAATATAAAAAAAAAAAAAAAGAAAAAGAAAATAGGGCTGCTGCCACATGCCTATAATTCTAGCACTCTGGAGACAGAAACAGAAGGATGACCCTGAGTTCAAGGCCAGCCTGAACTACACATCAAGACCCTTTCTCAAAATACAAAAAGTAAATTTTTTTTAAAAAAGCCACACACACACACACAAAAAAAAAATTGAAAATTAAAAAGATTTTAAAAAGCCACACATGGTGGCATATACCTGTAATCTCAGCACTTGGGCAGTTGAGGCAGGATTGCAATGAGTTTGAGGCCAGCCTGGGCTACATGGCAAAACCCAGACTCAAACAGTGCTAGGAATGGAGCTCAGTGTGACAGCCCTGGGTTCAGTCTCCAGTGTTGGAGAAAAGCGAGACTGCCTGGAACACAGTGCGAGAGTAGCAGGCAGGGAGGCCCAGAGCTGGCTTCTGCAGGCTTCCCGCCACAAGGCCTGTAAATAGGCTTCAGTAAGCTGAGTGGACATGCCCCAGCTTCTTCCTGTGTCCCCTCCCGGGATCCTCCACTTGAGCCCATCGCACAGTCTCCTCCACCCTAGGAGGTGACAAGGCTACAGGCTCGCGCAGGCATGTCTCTACTTCCACTTGGCCTGGGCCACCTGAGATCATCTTCCTAACAAGGCATCATAGCAGCGAAATACTACTGTGTGGGTCTCCATAACACCTTGGAGCTCCACACTAAACTCATTTTACCTCACTCATTTTACCTAACACCTTTTATTGAGACACAGTCTCAAGCTGTAGTTCAGGCTGACCTTGAACTCACTATGTAGCCCATGTTGGCCTCAAACTCATGTACCTCTTGCCTCAGCTTCCCGTGCTGGGACTATAAGCATGTGCCACCACACTTAGCACGCTAACACTTCTTAGAGTTAAATGGAAACTTGGTTTCACGTGAGACCCATGTTCAAGGTCATAGCAGAACCCAAACTCAAATTCAGGGACTTTTTATGGGTCCACCACACCCCCACAACCCCCACCCCTGCCACCACTGTAGCTAGGTTTAAGCACAAGGTATTTTAAAAACCTGAGGTCTAGCTGGGCAGGTCAGGGCAGGCTTCATATACCAGCACTTAAATGGCCAAAGCAGGAAGATTGGCAGTTCAAGCCCAGCCTAGGCTATTTAGTGGAGAGATGCTCTGTCAAAATTAAAACTTTGAGCGCTGGAAAGACAGCTCAGCGGTCTAAGGGCCTGACTGGCAAGTGCAAGGACCGGAGTTTGATCCCTGGTACTGCATGCTGTGTCAGCCCCAGAACAGGGCATGATGGCACACGCCTGTAATCCCAGTGCAGGGGAGGCTGAGACAGGAGGATCACTACAAGTCTGAAATGCATAGCAAGACCCTATATCAAATAAATAAAAAGTAAATAAATAAAACTTAAAGCTGTGTGTGACAGCACACACCTGTAATCCCAACACTCAGGAGGCTAAGGCAGAAGGATCATTGTGAGTTCCAGACCAGCCTGGGCTACAAAGTGATCTCAAAGGCTCAAGGACAAAGTCCAGCCGGAGCTGCATAGCAAAACCTCAAAATCTAAAAAAAAAAAAAAAAAAAAAACACCTCTAGTTAGATCCTATCTGGATAAAATGAAAAGAGCTAGGCATGTAGCTCAGTGCAAAGGCCCTGGGTTCAAGCTCCAGTAAAGAAAGAAAAAAATTGGTCAACTTAAAAAATTCCAAGGGGCCAGGGAGATGGCTCAGTAGGATAAGCGCTTGACTGACAAACGCAAGGATCTGAGTTCAATCCCCGGTTCCGCAAAAAAAAAAAAAAAAATTCCAACCACCTCTAAAAAACACTGCAGACCAAATTAAGGCACTGGGCTCCAAGGTGGAAGGGCTTCAGGTACAAATGGCTTCCCACTGTGAGGTCCGGTCTGCCCCCATCCCTCTGCCACGTGACCCACACAGGGGTGATCATGATGGGATCACTGGTCCCTTGCCTGTCCCAAGCTGGCAGGTCCCATTCACCCCTACTCCAGTCCCCATACCAGGCGACAAGGCCCTACAGGACTACTAAGGGACACACCTGAGAACGGCATCCACAGGTCTGTGCGTACCCTGCTCTGCTGATTCCCAGCAGGCCAAGACCAGATGAGCACCCCAGTGACAGCTCCAGGGACCTGGGCTCAAATTCAAGGCTCTTGAGTGGCTTTTTTTAAAAAAAAAAAAAAAAAAAAAAAAAAAAAAGGAATTAAAATTGAGAACTTGAGCTTGCCAGGCAGGCACTTATGTCACTGGGCTATCTTCCTGGCCCTTGAGGTGTATTTAAAAAAAAGAAACGTATGGGCCAGTTTTCACAGGGGAGGTCAAGTGTAGCTGGATCCAGGAGCACAAACAGGATTCTCACATCTTCTCTCTCATCCGAAGGCTCAGCTGTCCTGAGTGTCAGGCTTGTGAAAACAAGGTCCCTAACCTTGGCTCAGGTAGGCAGACTTGGAGCCCTAACCCTAATCACTATTCATAGTATTGCCACCCAAGTAGAAGGCCAGAGAGCACTCAGGACCTTCTGGAAGGTTCCTAACCAGCAGACCCACACTGATCCAGGCAACCCATGGTTTATTCCAAGTCCCCAGGATGCTGGGCAGACCCCTTCACAGGTAGAAGAGCCAGGGTCAAGCCCCAGGTAACACACAAAGGGGCAGAGGGGCAGAAGGTCCAGAGGTCTTTCTTGGACTGAGCCTTCTAGACCCACCTGGGGCATTGTTTCCCTCCCGCAACACACATTAGCTCCACCCACCTGTCCCCCACAGGGACACCTCACACCTCATGAGGCTGGACCCGGAAGGCTGGGCAGTTGTGGGAAGGAGTCACCCTCCACCTTGCCCCAGGCATCCTTGCAGCTGTCAGCTGCCCAGGACCCATGTAGATGTGGCCACTGGCACATCCAGAGAGCCACAGCCACAACAAACCAATGGCACTCTGCCCACCCTCCTGGAGGGTTTGTCTAAACTGCCATCCCCACCCCAGCACCCATGACCGAGTGTCCAGGCAGGAAGTGTGTGGGCATCTAGGTGGGGACTCAGGAGGCCTCAGCCAGGCAGGATTTGGTGAGCCCAAGACCAGGGGTCAGCTAAGGTCTAACCGGCCCAACTTGTCCCCACTTCAGGGCCTCCGCAAACCAGCGCTGCATTCCAATCTGCTCTGAAGGGCTTAGGTAAAGTCAAAGGTGAACCTGAAATTAGGGCACCCTCAGAAGGACCAACAATCACGGGCAATCATGGGGTAGGGATCAGGTTGGGCCCTGTCCTGGGTCGTGTGGATTTTCCATGCCATGCCGCCTGATGCAGTGCTGCATGGGAAGGTGGACCAGTTTTGTGTGCCCTCACCCTGACTCTGATATTCTCAATCCCATTCTACAGGAAACTGAGGTTCAGCTATGGAGACCAGGTAAGGCCTGGTTTGAGGTTTATTTTATTTCGTTGAGACAAGGTTTCACAATGCAATTCAGGCTGGCCTCAAACTCACTGTGTAGCCCAGGCTGGCCTCGAAATCATTGCTTCTTCTACCTTAGCCTCCCAAGTGCTGGGATTACAGACAAGTGCCATCATACCTAGCCTGGTTTTTTTGGTTTTTTGAGACAGGGTCGTGATAGTCCAGGCTGGCTTGAACTTACTACGTAACCCAGGGTGGCCTCAACCTCACGGCGATCCTCTCGCCTCAGCCTCCTAGTGCTGGTTTTACAGGTCTGCGCCACCAGCCCGGCCCGGGACGCCCACTCTCTACCGGCCGAGAGGGGTCTTCACCTGCCGGGTTGGGAAACCTAATTGAGACTTCAGCCTCAGCCGTGGCCCCTCCCGAGACCCGCCCAACTCCCCTCCCACGGCCCCACCCTCTGCCGTGGACGTCACAAAAAAAGGCACTCAAAGCCGCGGCGACGAGGCCGGACAGCACAACCCAGTCCTGCCCGCGTCCCCGCGAACACGCGTCCGCGGAGCTCGTCCGGGCGCGGGGGGCGGGGCGGGGCGGCGGCGGCGGCGGCGGCGGCGGCGGCGGCGGCGGCGGCTGCGCCCTGCTGGAACCAGAAGTGCGAAGCGCCTGCGCAGTGGCGCGGGTGAAAACAAGACTCGGCTTCCCGGCGTGCCCCGCGGGCGGGCGCGCAGGCGCAGTCGGGTCCGGTGGCAGCCCGCCGGCGTAGTTGGACCCCAGCGGGGGCGCGCAGGTGCTTTCGGGAAGGGGTGCGCGGCAGGACTTGAGGCTAGCGCCCGGTGGGCGGCGACGCCAGAGCGAGTGGAGCCCTCCGGGTTCTCGAGTGGCGGCGGCAGCGGCGCAGAGGAGGAAGGCGGCGGCTCCCCCACGGCCGGCGCGCGGGCCGGTCCGTCCCGCGAGCTCGCGGCGGCCCAGAGACCCGGCGCGCCTTTGGTCCCGGGCCCCTCCGCCGCCCCCGCCGCTGCCGCCGCTACCGCCGCAATGGCTCGGCCGCTGGTGCCCAGCTCCCAGAAGGCGCTGCTACTGGAGCTCAAGGGGCTGCAGGAGGAGCCGGTGGAAGGCTTCCGCGTGGCTCTAGTGGACGAGGGCGACCTGTACAACTGGGAGGTGGCCATCTTCGGGCCACCCAACACCTACTACGAGGGCGGCTACTTCAAGGTGAGTAGGCTCGGGTTCCCCTGCGTCCCCGGCTCTTCCCGTTGCCCGTTCCCGCCGCTGTCAGTCGCTCCAGCCGCCTCCTCAGGCTCCCGAGGGCCCCCAGAACAGGCCAGATTCCCTTCATCACCCAGAGGGCAGGCGAGACCCCTTGGTTTGTGCGGGTGCCGGCATTCACTCACCTCACGTCGGGGAAGAGGGCACTGGGGACGGCCAGCGCGGCCGCTGTTCGGCTCCAGCAGGGGCCCGGATGGGGCTTGGCAGCCCGACCTGCTTGGAAAGCGGCCATCCTTACCCAGAGCGGGCCCCTCCCTGGCTTTATGTAACCTGTGCCCTCGGGAGGGTGGAGGCAGGGCCCACCGCGCCCACACTGGTCCCCCAGCAACACCCCAGGCTGCTGCCCTGTTTGCTGCCGGCAGCAGGCAGGGGAGTCTCCTGTCCCTCCTGCCTGCTTCTCTCTAGTTCCCCTAAGCAGGTGGCTCCCCCCCACCCCCCGTACCAGGGATTAAACTCAGAACCCTGTGCTTGCCAGGCAAGCACTTATTCTACTCTTATTCTACTGAGCTATCTCCCCAGCCCAAGCAGGTGGTTTCTTGGGACCCAGATCTTGCTGTTTCTTCTGCCTCTCCGATGGTTTGAGGCTGAGCGAGTCTCTTGTGTTGTTGGAACCAGGGAGCCAAGGTTCTGTCCCCCAGATTGGCTATGTTGTTTCTGTGTGGTGTGACAAAGAACAAGGGCAAAAATCAGGGCAGTTTTCTTGACTTTGCAAACTGAGCCCAGCTGAGGCCTTGGACTCCTTTCAGGGACATGGGACCCTGCTCTGGAGCCAGAGGGAGGAGGCAGGTTCTCTCTGCCTGTGAGGAGGGGGGAGCAGGTGGGAAGGAGCAGAAGCCAAAGCCAGGACTGGCTGCAGAGGCGGTCTGCACAGGTGCCTGTGTCAGCATGACATCTGCCCACTGGTCATAAGGGTGGCAGTACTGTCTGCTAGGGAACTATTCTTTTACTCGGTTATTTATTTAGTAAGTTAGTTATTTGAGATAGGGTTTCCTTGTGTAATTCACGCTGGCTTTGAGCTCACTGTGTAGCCCAGGCTAGCCTCTGACTAGTGATGATCCTACTGTCTCAGCCTCAGTGCTGGTATTACATAGAACAGCTTGCCTGGCCTGGGGAGAGATTCTTGAGCTGCAATTCTAAGTTACAGAATAGGGTGGGATAGAGACGTTGTAGACATCTTCACCTCAGGACTGAAAACAGTCTGGGTGTGGGAACCTTGGAAGTCACCAAATGGTGTAGGCATCATTTCTAGCTCCTTTTGTCTGTTTGGGGGAGCAGTTTGTGTTGGGCTCAGAGCAGATGAGACCAAGTTCCACCCTGAGGCCAGGGCCCTCATGCCACTGTGTTTTAGGAAGAAAGAGGCCCCTGCCTGCAAAGGATCATGACAGAGCCTAGCATTAGGGCCTTAGCCCTCCTTCCAGAGCAGGTTGGCAGGGACTCAGCCACATAGGTACCCATCTGCCATGGTTGTGTCTTCAGGAGCCAGTGTGGAATCCAGGGTGGCTCGGCCACCTACCAGGACCCTCCTGTCTCCATTGTGGGTGGCTGGGTCTTGCAAAGAGTATGTGGAAATGGAAAAATTATGAGGTGCCCAGGCCCACTATGCTTCCTAGCTGCTTCCTTGAGGCAGGCAAGTGTGCAGCCTTTCCAGACACAGCACGGGCCCTTCCCATGCTTCTCTTGCTCTGGACCTCCGGGCTGGGTGCTTTCCTTCCCCGAGCTTCAGTTCACTCAGTTACACCAGCAGCTTTAAAGGCTCTTGAGTGGAGACCCTGGCTCTGGGCGCATTTGAGGCCAGTTTTACCTGCCTTGAGGTGGCTCTTGAGGACAAAGGCTTAGAAACCAACACTGGATCTGGGCAGCCTTGAAGTCTTGAGGAACCTGGGCCAGTGCTCAGACCCCAAGTCCAGGTCGTCCAGCCAAAGGCAACTTCACACTGAAACCCAGAGGATACCAAGAGTGGAACTTTTTAGGGATTTTTTTAAAGACTGGAGATTGCAAAGGCTACTCTCCATCTCTTAGAACTTAAAACATTTCCAGGACCCTGGCCCAGTAGCTGGGGATCCCCAAGGAAACAGCAGGGGTTCCTTGTTTACCTGCTGAGGCCTTCAGGGCAGTAGAAAGAGTCACACTCTTGGCCTCAAGCTCAGCTCTGACTTGGGGAGGTGCCTCAGATCCTCCCTTGTGGCCACCCTTGGCCTTATGGGCAGGAGAGAGGCAATGACATGGAACACGTCTCCCTCAGGGGCCTGCCGACTCAGCTCCCCTGCAGCCAGGTGGACGAGTCCATGCCAGCCCTCCTTCAGCCAGAACACCAGGCTCTGTATGTACCAGAGGGCTCCAAAGGTAGCCTGGAGCCTCTGCCAGCTGGTGGCACCTGCTGAAGAGGACCCAAGTCTGAACCACCCAGGGTCAGGGCCATCCAGGCAGCCAGCACCCATGTTCTTGAGTGGCCGAACTTTTATCAGCCAACGTGCCTCTGAAAAGGCCAAAGCATCTCGATGTGGGTGATGAATGGAAAGTCCCTATCTCTTTGGGGACACATCCCTTGGGTACCAGTGCTGGTAGGCCTTGAACACTAGTCTGCAAAGTGAGTCCTAAGGGGTCTGGCTTCTCTGAGTGCCCTGCTTTCTGTCCCTCAGGCACGGCTCAAGTTCCCCATCGACTACCCGTACTCCCCACCGGCCTTCCGCTTCCTGACCAAGATGTGGCACCCAAACATCTATGAGGTGAGACACAGACGCAGACACACATACACCTCCCGGTGAGGAGAGTCACATACACATGCACATGCACACACCACCTCTTGCAGCCTGTGCTTGGCGGGTGCCGGGAACTGGCTGACCTCTACTGCTCTCTCCTCACAGACAGGGGATGTGTGCATCTCCATCCTGCACCCCCCAGTCGATGACCCCCAGAGTGGGGAGCTGCCATCAGAGCGGTGGAACCCCACGCAAAATGTCAGGTGAGGGTGCTCAACCATCCCTGGCCCGGCCCCTCGCAGTATCCCCCACCACTTCCAAGTTTGAGATTCCTCGCACTCTGGGGTGGAGGCTCTTATGTTCCTGGTGTCCCCTCCCCTAAACCACCATTCCCCCAGGACCATCCTCCTGAGTGTGATCTCCCTGCTGAACGAGCCCAACACCTTCTCGCCGGCCAACGTGGATGCCTCAGTGATGTATAGGAAGTGGAAGGAGAGCAAGGGCAAAGATCGCGAGTACACAGACATCATCCGGTGAGTATCAGGGTCAGCAAGGCCCAGGCCTACCTCACCTCTCTCCTTCTCTTCCTTAGAAACTAGGGCCCCTTGGGCATGGTGGCAGATGCCTGTAATTCCAGCACTTAGGAGGCTTAGGGAAGATACTTGGTTCAGTTCGAGGCCAGCCTGGACTACATAGCCAGGCTCTATCTTGAGAAAACACAGAAACAAGAAAGAAAACTAGGGAGAGAGGGAATGTGGCTTTGTGCTGGTCATGATGGATCCAGCAATGTGAGACTGCAGTGTGCACCATGAGGTACGTGTACTCACATGCAGAGCACACGTGTCCACACACACACCTAGGAGGCCACCAGGGTCGTTGCTTCATGTGTGTTACATCATGACTGAGCCCCTGCACATCTGGGCCACTGTCCTCAGGATGGTGGCCTTTGTTATACAGGGCCAGTGCACTCAGGTCAGCTTCTATTTCACATGTATCTGAGGTCACACATTAAGCACTCTTTTCAGTTTGTTGCCTGGTTGTGGTTTTTTGATTTTTTGGCAGGGTTGTTTTTTTTTTTTTAACCAGGGTCTTATTGTGTAGTTCAGGCTGACCTTGAACTCACTTTGTAGGCCAGAATTGTGTGGATCCTCCTGCCTCAGCCTCCTGAGTGTCAGGATTACAGGCGTGCGCCACCACACCTGGCCACGTTTGTGGTTTTGAAAGTAGAACTTTCCAGAGGAGAGAGCCCTGTAGCCCTCCCTGTGGGGACTCCTGCTGGAGAAGCCACTTGCTGTGCAGGCCTTGCAGAGCCCAGCTCCTCATCTGACCCTGGCCTGTCGCCATCCCCCACAGGGATAGCAGGTGGTGTTCCAAGGTGGGAAATAAGTCAGGGGAGGAGGCAGGAGGTATCCTTGGCTCTGCCCATCGTCACTTCAGTGGGGTGCTCTAGCTCCTTATCTTGTCTCTTTTGGGGGTAGTAGTTTTGTTCTGTACCTTTTGTTGCTGGTCGTAGAACCCAGCACCACCCAGCATCCTAGGCCAGTGCTCAGCACCAAGAGACACACACACACACATCATCTGGTGGACTTAGCTGTTCAGCAGGTTTTTTTCCAGGTTTCTTTTCACTTTATTCTTCACTTTTCTCTTTTTAATCAGAAATAACACCTCACACCCCAGCTGTTCTTCCCAGGAGGAGCCAGCCAGGCACGTCCACACCAGCGCTGACCCAAAATTGCACACAGTGCCTGCATTGTTTCCCATGCTGGCAGCAGCTCGCAGCTCCTCATGGCTGAGGAGAGGCAGCACTGTGCCTGTCCCCACCCAGGCCAGACCCCGCTCAGCACATGGCCAGGCAGCAGCCAGCAGAGGCAGGCAATGTGCCTGCTCCTTTGCAGGAGCCCTGGCTGGTGGCCCCTAACTGGTGGGACACAGATGAGGCCATCAGGACATGGGATAACGGTGCTTCTTCTTTTTTTTTTTTTTTTTGTCGGAACCAGAGATTGAACTCAGGCCCTGCGCTTGCCAGGGAAGTGCATTCCACAGAACTCCCCAGCCCCAAAACTGCATTCTTTATATTAAAACACAGTCTCTCACTAGTTTCCCTGGAGCAACTCAGATTTGTGATCTTCCTGCCTCAGCCTCTTACACTGGGAATGCAGACATGCATGAGCATGCCCAGCTTTTCCAGAATTTTAAAGATTTTATTCAAGGGATGTTGGAAGTGTTGTTCAGTGCCTCCACCTCATCTCCAGCGCTGCAAGTACAAATAAATGGCTTCACGTATATGGTTTTATCCATAACAGATTGGTGCTGTACAGGCCACCACATTAGGTGGCTGCTGTGGTACTGCGTGAAGTAAACAGCGTTGGCAGCAGTCTGACCATGTCCTATGCTCCAGTGGTACCACCAGGCATCCCATTTCCCTCCCCCAAGGTCCACCCTGTGCTTTTCTAGCTGAGCTGCTGCCCTCCATCCCCACTCTGCAGTTAGGTTATGGTTTTATTTTGTTTGAGGTGTTAGGCACAGGACCCAAGGCCTCCCACGCACTAGGAAGGTGTTCTACCACTTGGCTGCACCTGCAGCATTTGTCTTGCAAGGTGGCCAGCCTGGCCTCCAACTCAGCCTCCTGTCTCAGCCTCCCCAACAGCGCAGACCACAGTCCAGATGTGCACACAAGTATGCACGTGGGGCAGGCAGAGACCCCTGGGTGACCGTCAGTCTCCGCTGCTCTTCTCTGCATAGAGTCACATGAGCCCTGCAATCATGCAGGTCTTGCCCATCCCTATTTGTAATTCTTTTTGTTGTTTTTGTGGTGGTAGTTTTGTTTTTGGTTTTTTCGTACTGGGGACCCAACTCTGGGCCATACCAGGGAGGTGCTTGTGCCACAATTGCCATCCCAGCCCTGTTGTGTTTTTTGAGGGGAAGCTGGTTTTTTTGAGACCAGCTCTTGCTGTGTAGCCCAGATTGACCTTGAACTTGTGTCAATTCTGTCTCATCCTCCCAAGTGCTGGGAGAACAGGCATATACCACCCACCTACCCAGCTATCTGTCACTAGTTCTGTGGTGCTTCTGCAGAAAGGGATTTTTAAATTTCTAGTCATGGATGTGGACATGTGGGATCTGCATGTGTTTGCGACATGTACCCATGTATGTGTGTCAGTGGGCAGTGCTGCCTGCTGGCTGTCACCAGAGCCAGTGGCACCAGGTGTCCTGGCCAGCTGTCCTGGGCAGGCAGAAGAGGGCTGTGGTGGATGCTGTGTAGCACTCGCTGTCCTGGCTGTCCTCCTGGCCACTTCACACTTGCCTACCCAGGGGGACACCCTTGGTGGCTGTGGGCCCCACCAGCCCCTGGCACAACCCAGGCCCGTTTTCTCTGGTTCCGTCCATGCCCCTCCCATCCCAGAGCAGAAATCAAAACTGGCCTATTTTTATCCCCAGCGCTCCCTGTGGACTGCTCCTCTGTGCCCACATTGGGCTGCAGTGGCTGCTCTCTGCTTGTGTCTGCATCTGAAAGTGCGGGTTTCAGCCTCAAAATAGCACATGTCCCAGCAGGGTTCCACATGGCCACAGAGCCAGAGCTGTGGCCTGGTCAGGGGCACAGGAGCAGACTCCATGGTTGAAAGTACCCTTCATAGAGCCTGTGGGACACGGTGTCTGTCACAGATGCTGCCAGGCTGGGCTCAGCCCACCCCTTGCCCCATCCCAGGATGCCTATTGTTGTCACTATGGGAAGGACTCAGTGTGTCCATCCCCCATAGCCTTTCCTGCACAGGACAGAGGGGACCCAACTGGGCATCACAGTAGCCCGCCCTCCATCTTGTTTCCTCTCCTAGGCCAGGTGGCACTAGATCAGGACCTCGCTTGGTGGTGTCCCCATTCTGGGCACCAAGATCTGTCACCTCCCCTGCCCGACCCACCCATACAAGTCCAGTGTCTGCTGCCGGGCTCCTTCCTGCTCCCAAAAGCAGGGCTGCTGCCTGAGCAGGGTTCCTGAGTGGCCTGTGTAACTATTGAGGGGTCTGGTGTGGTCACCTTCGCTGCAACATCTCTCTGAGGCTCCTGGGTACTATACTATGCACAGGCCTAGGGCTGCACCCTAGCAGTGCCTTCACCTACCCTGTCTCCTCAGGAAGCAGGTCCTGGGGACCAAGGTGGATGCGGAACGTGACGGGGTGAAGGTGCCCACCACGCTGGCCGAGTACTGCGTAAAGAGCAAGGCGCCAGCGCCCGATGAGGGTACGGACCTCTTCTACGACGACTACTATGAGGATGGCGAGGCAGATGAGGAAGCTGGCAGTTGCCTGGGGGACGAGGACAGCTCTGACAACGAAGGGTCCTGACACTGCGCCCTGCAAAATAAACTCTCAGATTTTACCTCATGACCGGCCTGGTGGGCTCAGCCCACGGACTACCTCATGGAGCTTGCGTAGTCCCTCTCCGGGTGGGTAGCACTGTTCTAGGTTTGCCTCTGCTTCTGTGGACAGTGGCTACCCGAGGCCTGGGCTTCAGGGACTGGTGCAGCCCAGCAGGGCCCTTGAAGCCGGACGGTGGGCGGGCTGGGAAGGCCCAGGTGACTCAGGTCAGAACCTGCCGCCCAGCAGCTTGCAGCCACAGACTCAGCATCCAGCGATGCGTGGCCAATGACTGTGGCTCCTCTCCTCTGCTTTGGTTTGTTTGAATCTAAATAAAATTCCTTAGGAGGCAGATGCTTTCTGGGAGCACACAGGGGCCAGGGGCTGCTTGCTACCAAGGACTGCAGCAGCCAGGCCTGGGGCCTGTTAGATGTTAGTGGTTGGGGGAAGGGGAGTTGTCCTGTGGCACTGCAAACGCAGGACCTGTGCTCTGAGCCGCATCCCTGCCCCTTTTTACTTTGGATCAGGTCTCACTGTGCTGCCCTGGTGGGGCTGGGTCTTGGAATCCCCTTCTGCCCTAATATCCCAGAGTGCCAGAATTGGAGACAGCACCACCAAGCCTGGCAATTTCCCTTGAACCAGAGGCCTGGCAGCATGGTGCCACCCAGGCCACAACCCAGCTTACCTCCTCCCCTTGGCTGTGTGGCCCTGTACTCTGAGCCAGTCACAAAAGGACAAATGAGCCAAGTGGAGATGGCTGGCAAGGCCTAGGTGGCACAGCGATCAGGACCTGCAGCTCATGGCCGGGAGCCGCAGACTTAGGGTGTGTGGCCAGTGATTTGTGGCCCCTCTCTGTAGGGGCATAGCTTCCGTTAGAAAGGTGGGGAGGCTCCAGGGACAAGTGGGGATGATGGCTCACAGCCATATGACCAGGCTCAACACCTTTGAGCTTTACCTGCAAAGAAAGTGTAAATTTTGTCCATCTTTTTATCATAGTAAGGAAAATCTGGGTATGGTTGCTCCCCGCGCAATCGCAGTGCCCTGGGAGGCTGAGGCTGGAGGATCGTAAGGCCAAGCCCAGCCAAGGCAACACAGACACTCCATGAGAGCTGTCCCGAGCCGGGTGGCGGGGGATTTGCTGGGGATGCCGCTCAGTGCAAAGGCTCTGTTTTTTTGTTTCTTTAGTGTTTTGTGTTTTGAGACAGGATCACTCTGCAGTTCACGCTGGTCTTTTTTATTTTATTTTTTTTATTTATATATTTTGCGGAACCGGGAATTGAACTCAGGCCCTTGTGCTTGCCAGGGAAGCAATTATTCCACTGAGCCATCTCCCCAGCCCCCAGGTCCTTTTTATTTATTTGTTTGTTTTGTTTTTGGCAGAACCAGGGACTGAACTCAGACCCTTGCACTTGCCAAGGAAGCACTTGTTCTACTGAGCCATGTCCCCAACCCCTGGGCTGGTCTTGAGCTTACAAAGTAAGCTCAAGACCAGCAGGGTTTCCAGCTCACAACAATCCCTCCTGCATCAGCCTCCCAAGTGCTGGGATTACAGGTGTACACAGCCACACCCAGCTAAGGCTCTGGTGTAATCACAGATACCAAAAGAAAAAGCAAGGAAAAAAATCAAGAGGCCTTCTGGGATATACTTCAATGCTAGAATGGCTTCCAAGTGTTCACAGGCCCCGGATTCCACCCCCTGCATACACCAGAGGGATGCTGGTACACACCTGTAGCCCCAGCTGGGGGCTGAGCTACTTAGGAAGGTTGAGGCAAGAGGATCACAAGTTCAAGGCCAGCGTGGATAACTTGGATCCTTTCTCAAAACAGAGCTATGGGTATAGTTAACGCGCTGTAGGTTGTCTCCTCTGAAAAAGGGGAGGGACAGAGGGAGAGGGAAGGAAAGCACAAGGGGCAGCCACATAGCTCAGCAGATTAAAGTGCCTGCAGGGGTCCCAGGGCACACCGAGACCATGAATGAGAGTGGGTGGGTGTGAGGCTCATGCCTGTAATCCCAGCACTTGGGAGGCTGTAAACAGGATAATCTCAGTCCTGATCTAGTATTGAGACCCTGAATACCCTGTAGACTCCCTAAAATACAGGCGGGGGGGAAAGGAAAGTACAAAGCTAGGCTTGGTGCATTGTCCTCAGCATTTGAGAGGCTGAGGCAGGACAGTTGCCATAAATTCGAGGCCAGCCTGGGTTATGTATCAACCCTGTCTTCATGAAAAACAAAGCAAGCTGGATGTGATGTGGCGCATGCCTGTAATCTCAGCACTCCTGAGGCTGAGGCAGGAGGATCATTGTGAGTTTGAGGCCAGCCTGGGCTACAAAGTGAACTCAAGGCCAGCCTGAACTACACAGGAGACCCTGTCTCAAAAAGATAAAAGGGGGGAGAAAAAAAAAGAACAAAGGAAACATCACATTGACCATACAAACATAAGACAGGAGTTTACACACTAACTTAACTGGAATACTTGTTAACTTTTGGGGTCTGACCGTGTGGTGTGCTCTGACCTCAAGATAGGACCAGGGACTCGTGCTTATCGGGCAAGTGCTCACTACTGGGCCACAACCCCCCTGGAGACCCTGTAAAGGCTGTGAGTGAGGAAACCTCGGGAAGAGAACTGCCCCTCTATGCAGGGTGGGGCTGAGAATGTCAGTCCCCATAAAAACAAATTTAGGAGAAAGGCTGAAGATTGATTGATTGATTGATTGATTGGTTTGATTTTGGTCTCTTTGAGACAGAGTATGCAGCTCAGGCTGGCCTTGAGGTCACCTTATAGCCCAGGCTGGTCTTTAACTTGCAACCATCCTCTGGCCTCAGCTTCCAGAGTGCTGGGATTACAGGATTACAAGCGTGTACCACCATGCCCAAAAAGAATTTCTTTTCTAACAATCTGTAAAATTTTCCTTAAAAAGGAAAATAAAAAATGCCCCTATAGCTGGGTGTGTGTGAGGTGCACGGTAACTGGGAGGCTGAGGCAGGGGGATCTCAAATTCAACCCCAGCCTGTGTGATTTAGACACTATCTCAAAAGTAAAAAAGAGCTGGGAGGTAGCTCCCTGCAAAGCCCCAGCTTCAATCCCTAGTACTGCCAAAAAGGAGAAGGAAGAAACGTGTTTGTGCTTGCTGTGAATGTAGGAGGCTCAAGAAAATGAGGTGGGAGGCTGAGAGGGAAGTTCGCTTTCTGCTGATAAGTTTTTAAATGTTGTGCCATCTGTGTAGAGTACATAGTCAGAAAATAGGCTTTGTGTGTGTGTGTGGAACCGGGTATTGAACTCAGGCCTTTGTGCTTACCAGGGAAGCGCTTATTCTACTGAGCCATCTCCCTGGCCCAAAATAGGCTATTTTGAAAGTCTCGTTCCAGCACTTGGGAGGCTGAAGCAGGAGGATCACTGGGAGTTCACTGTCAGCCCAGCCTACATCGGCCCTAAGTCAATAACAGCAAAAATTAAAAACTATTTTGTTTTTGGCGGAACTGGGGATTGAACTCAGGCTCTTGCGCTTGCCAGAGAAGCACTTATTCTACTGAGCCATCTCCCCGGCCCCTTAAAAACTATTTAAAAGCAGAGTGCAGGAGGTTTGTCTAGGGGCACACCGTTTGTTTTTTTTTTTTTTTGTTTTGTCTTTTTGAGACAGGGTTTCACTATGCACTTCAGGCTGGCCTTGAACAGCCCCCTTTGCAACCAGGCTGGTCTCGAACTTGCAGCGATTCTCCCTCCTCAGCCTCCCAAGTGCTGGGATTACAGGTGTGCGCCACCACAGCACAAGGGATGTTTTGGAGAGGATGAAAGTTTGGAACTCGGAGGTGCTGGTCCCATTTCTGGAGCCACTGAGAACTTGTGGTGGGGCTGGAGGGAAGACACCCCATGCAGCCACTGTGGAGGTGAGGTCACTTCAATATAATGAGATTTCTTTTTCATCTTGGTTGAATTTGGATGTTAACTGAAAAGCTACCAGAATCAGAACTTTTGCACCCGCTTGCTTGCCATTGCTGAGTGCTGGGTGTGGAGCTGAAGAGGAATGGACCTCCTCTGATGGGGGTTTAATGTGATGGTACCTTAGGTACTTTTCTTACTGCCAGGATAAAACACCAACCCTCAGAGTTAAAGGAGGAAAGGTTTATTTCAGCTCACAGTTTGCAGAGGTTGTCGTGCACAGCTGGCTCAGAGGCAGGGTGGCGCAACAGAGGGGCATCACGGGAAAAACAGTTCATGGCAAAGCAAGGCAGGCAGAAGGCAGCCAGCAGCAAAGTAGCAGAGCAGCTCCTTTCTGTCCCTTTATATGCCATCAGGCTCCCCACCTCTTGGATGGTATCACCCACACCCAGGATGGGCCTTCCCAGTTATCTATACCCACGATTTGCTAAACCAATCAGTGGAATAATCAGTAGTCATGTGCCCTTAATCTAACCACCTCCCAAAACACCTGTGAGTGCAGGCGGCTTTGAAGGAATGTTAGACACAACCCAGCACAGATGGGATGTGTAGATTCTGCCCAGCCATCAGCAAGTAGCCATCTATCGATCTGCCCACCCATGTAGCATGAGGAGCAGGGATAGGGGTGTCACAGGGGACGAAAGTTGTGACGAAAAATCAGCCTACAGGTACAGCTCAGTGGTGAGTGTCTTGTATGTGCAAGCCTGGGCTTCCATCCCCAGCATCCAAACACAAGAACCTGAGGGATGATGTGGGGGCTCACACCTGTCCTCTCAGTCCTCAAGAGGCTGAGGCAGGAGGATCAGTGTGACTTCAGGGCTAGCCTGGGCCACACAGCGAGACCGTGTCTCAAAAATAAAGAAAAGGGGGCCTGGGTGATGGCTCAGTGGAATAAGCGCTTCCCTGGCAAGCGCAAGGGCCTGAGTTCAATCCCCGGTTCCGCCAAAAAATAAAAAAAAACCCTGTGAGCCTCGCCCCACCTCTGAAGCTCAGGTGGTTTCTCCAAACTCCTCCACGAAAGATGGCTTTGAACCAGAGAGACAGGTGCCAGCAGAGGGCGGCACCAGCCAGCTCTGGGAGCCTAGGCAGAGGTGAGGGTAGGTGCCACTCCCAGCCTCCAACTCCACATTTGAGATTGCTGACACCCACATGTCCAGAGCTCAAGGCTGTGCTCCAGTGGTTTCAGCACAATGCTGCGCAGCTTTTTAACTCTAATTCCAGAGCTTTCCATCACTGCAAAGAAAGTCCCGCCTGTCCCTGTGAGCCATCACCTGCCCCCTCCCAGCCCCAGCACCCTGTGTCTTGTCTCTGGAATCGCCTGTCCTGGGCATTTCCTGTCAGTGGAGCCCACACCATGTGTCTTCTGCCTCTGGTGTCTCTCACTGAGCACGGCGTCTTCCAATCCATCCACGCT